TGTATATATATATATATATATATATATATATATACACATACACACACACACACACACACTATGTGTACCTCTCATTATATAGTGCATCGGTTCTGGAGTAAAACAGAAAGAAGTTCAAATCATGTACGCAAAGATTTTTAAATTTTCACGTTAGTAGGAATATACCTACGGTACAACACTGACGACCTTACCATGCCTTTCCTCATAAAGAATGTTGGTGTTGTTGAACTTGAACACTGGTACGAAGCTCGTTATTCCTCAATTGATAGTTAGAACGTTATGTGAAACTTGTGGTGCGTCCATAATTAAAGTCTCTGTTACGTAATGTTATATATACATAAGACTGACACTGCGAATCAAGTAGGAGTACACGGAACAAAAGATCAAGCTGTTACGATTATTTCTATTTATTTAGGCACAGGGCTTTTATTTATTGTCAAACAAATCCCAACGCTATATATACCCGTTTTCCTTACGTCGTAGGTATGAACGATTTATGCAAATAACTGCTTTTAACATTCACACTTCTTCCTCAACCAAAGGTCGTACTTGTCAAATGCAAATAAGCCCCCCCCCCAATGGACCTCTCTGGTTGGTGCACGACAATTGTTTACAACAGTTGGTTTTAAATGATTTAAACGTTCCACTTCTTTGAGGTTACGAACTTTGAAAACCTTACTAATCTTTTAGGGGAGGCGGTGCAAGTTTCCAGAACAATAAAGAACAAACAAACAAAAACTCAAACGGAATTTCCTCGAATTTTCCTGAATTATTAAGTGTCTTCGTGCAGTTTATCTTTCTGAAACTTTAATTAATGAATAATTTAGTGAACAATATATTTCTTTTGTAAGTTATTAGACAACGAGAAATCATTAGGCTTACATTTGAATTTGGAAAACAAGATTGTGTAATCCGTAAAATATTTGTTATTAAGCACAAAGCTACACACACCATGGGCGATTCCGCGCTCTGCTCACCACGAGTATCGAAACCCGATTTCTTGGAGTGCAAGTCCTCAAACTTACCACTAAACCACTGGGTGGCAAAAGCTACACAACAAAAGCTATGTGTTGGGCTCACCGCGAGTATCGAAATTCCATGTTTTCAGCGGTGTGAGCTCTAAGCCTTGCCGCTGAGCAACTGAGGAGCCCAAAAAAATAGAAACGTAAACTTAGAAATTTAATATGGCTTAATTATTCTAATTAATATATCCTAGTCATTTGAATAATGCAAACTTGTCACTGCTTTCATATACAAGTAACTGCAATTAGAATATTTAGAGTTTAGTTAATCAAATAAAATCATATCCAACTATTGTTTCCATCTGACATTCAGTAACAGTTATACAATAAACAATCCATATTCACTGTGTACATTATACGTAATTTAGTATAAAACTAGCTCCGATAGTTAAGTACAAAAGCAATATTCAAGTGGAATCTCATTAGATTCATTAAAAGTATAAATTTAAATGACGCGTTAAAAGTTTTGGTACTATAGAAGTTAGAACGTGAAATTAACGTATGTTTTAGCACAGAGAAATCACAACGATATTCACGAAATATTGTGGTAAGTACAATTCATCGCCTGTGGAAGTCTAGTTTAAAAATGTACGTGTTTCAGTCTATAAACATCGTCTAAAAACTCATTTTGCTGTACATCGTTAATCGATATTTTTCTTCAGAAGCAAACTTAATTTTTCAAATCGTAAAATCAAACAGCCTAATTATATCTATTTTAGTGGTCTACCCTATATATAACGAACGTATGATGGCCACTTATACAAAAAGACTGATACGATTCTTTTTCCTGTGTACTGAATATTTTTGTTTATTTGAAGTTAAGCACAAAGCTACACAATGGGCTATCTGTGCTCTGCCCAACACGGGTATCGAAACCCGATTTCTAGCGTTGTAAGTCCACAGATATACCGCTGTGCCACGTGGGGGGGGGGGGGGTGTCCGTGATGATAATTTAACATTTTATGTTGTGTGTAACAATTAACCAATCCGTGATGAGTTAACACAAGTGTTAGAACCACTGCCACTGTTCTTCGGTGTTATTTACACGAAATAAAGAAAAGTGAACATATTTGTGTTTTTGCTCTAAAGAACTTATTTACATTAAATAGTATACAAAAATAATCGGAGAAGTGACGAATGTTTAGGAACACACACATAACTAACACTACAAACAACAACGCTAATGTTGAATAGAAATTTATCTACTGTGATAAACATTTGTAAGTGTTATGTTGAGACTCAAAGGATAGGGGGATTGTACGAATAGTCTATGAACTTGGATATAGATAGACTCACACTACATAATTGAGTAAGTGCATCTAAAAAGCTAATAAAAAGGAATAAAATCAAGTTTAGAATAATTATTTTTCATAAATACTGCAATGTAGTAACAGAAGAGGTTTGAGAATAGATTTCATTGGTTTAAACAACAATACTGTTGTATTTTAAGTAGTTATCAGTAGTATTACTGTTGTGCC